AAGGTTGTTACTGACACTACATTTAATCAATATTCTTAATGAGAGCTCCCAGAATCGGTTCTGCAGGGGTTTTACGCCCGCTAGGACCTCTAGGCTCATATTGTGTGTTGAATGCATACAGCCAAGGGCAATACGTAAACAACGATATTGAATACGTTCCAATTTGATTAGGTGGCTTTTTCTTGCCGAGTGGAAGCAAAAAGAGCCATACTCAAGAACTGAAAGAATAGTCGTTTTATATAGTTTAATGAGGTCTTCCGGGTGAGCACCCCACCATGTCCCGGAAATTGATCGTAGAAAGTTGATCCTTTGTTGACACTTTTGTTTCAAATACGTAATGTGGGTACCCCAAGTGCATTTTGAATCAAACCAGACTCCAAGGTATTTGAAGGTTAAAGATTGGGTAATGTCTCTGCCCAAAATGTTTAGACGCAGTTGGGCTGGAAACCGCTTCCTTGTAAACACTACCAATTCAGTTTTTTGCGGTGAAAACTCGATCCCTAAATTTCTTGCCCAGAGAGACAGATTATTTAGGGAATTTTGCAATGGTCTTTGCAAGATTTCTGCACGTGGACCTCTCATGGAAACCACGGCATCATCTGCAAGCTGTCTAAGCGTGCATTGATTATCTAAGCAGTTATCAATATCTTTGACATAGAAATTATAAAGTAAGGGACTTAAACATGAACCTTGGGGTAAGCCCATGTAGCTAATTCTAGAAGTTGTCAGTTGACCTAGATTGAAGGTCATTTGTTTTTCTGACAGCAAATTATACAAAAAATTATTCAAAATACCGGGTAATCCACTACTGTGCAAATTGTCTGACAGTATGTCTATGGAAACCGAATCAAATGCGCCCTTAATATCCAAAAAGACTGAAGCCAATTGCTCCTTGTGCGCAAAGGCCAGTTGAATATCAGATGAAAGCATCGCTAGACAATCGTTTGTTCCTTTACTCTTCCTGAAACCAAATTGCGTATTTGAAAGTAGATTGTTTGATTCAACCCAATGGTCAAGTCTTAATAGGATCATTTTTTCTAATAATTTCCTCAGGCATGATAACATAGAGATCGGACGGTAAGAATTGTGATCAGACGCTGGTTTCCCAGGCTTTTGAATAGCTATTACTTTAACCTGTCTCCATGCTGGTGGAACTATATTGAATTCCATAAATGAATTATATAGGTTAAGTAATCGTCTTTTAGCGATATCGGGGAGGTTTTTTAGAAGGTCAAATTTGATCATATCGCTTCCCGGAGCAGAGTTATTTGATGAAAGAAGTGCCATTGAAAATTCCAGCATTGTAAATGGTTCATCCAGAGAACCGTTAATTCGGGCTGTATCCCGTAAAGTTGGTTGTGCTGGAACAGAATCTGGACAAACCTTTTTAGCGAAGTCGAATATCCATTGGGAGGAGTATTCTTCACTCTCATTGGAAGATGAGCGGTTTCGCATATAGCGAGCCTTTTTCCAAAGCGTTGTCATCGAGGTTTCTCTAGAAAGTCCCTCGATAAAAGTACGCCAGTAATTTCGTTTCTTTGCTTTTAGTAAGTTTTTAAGCTTTTTTTCAAGCTTTAGATACTTTTCAAAAAGCTCAGATCTTTCATGTCTACGATAATCTTTAAAGGCATCGGATTTCTCAAGATACAACTTTGTGCATTCGTCATCCCATCCAGGGGTGGCGGGTCTTCTTTTGAGCGATGCACTTGGAACACGTCGTTTCTGAGCTTCTAATGCGCTTTTGTAGATTAGCTCGGTAAAGAAACGATACTCTTCCAGTGGTGGTAGAGGATCGGTAGAATCAATACCAAGAGTTACCGCCGATACAAATTTTTGCCAATCAATGTTCCTCGTGAGGTCAAAAGGAACTTGAATTGACTGATCTGTTTTTAGACGACCACTTTTGATTGAAATAATAATTGGCAAGTGATCACTACCATGGGGATCATTGATAACCTTCCACAGACAATCTAATGATAGTGAGTTAGAGCACAAAGAAATGTCAAGACGGCTCTCTCGAGCAGGAGGGTTTGCTATACGTGTTGCTTCACCAGTGTTCAAGATAGTCAAGTTGAAATCGTCGCACAAATCATAGAAAATACCCGCTCTATTGTCATCGTATGATTCGCCCCAACCAGTACCGTGTGAGTTCATATCGCCCAGTATTAGAACTGGAGATGGAAGGATATTAACTGAACTCCAAAGCTGACGGCGGTTTATGGAAGTCCTTGGAGGGACATATACAGAAGCTATGCAAAGATCTTTGTTCTTCACATTTATTTGGCAAGCGACAATTTCAATGCCTGAAATTATTGGGATTGAGATTTTATAGAAGGGGTAGCACTTTTTGATCCCCAAAAGTACGCCACCATATGAATCATCTCGGTCCAGGCGGATAATGTTAAAATCGTAGAAGTTTAGTTCATCTTCAGAAGAAAGCCAAGTTTCACAGAGTGCAAATATATCACAATCAGAATTGTGAATCAAATACTTGAACGAGTCTAATTTAGGTATTAAACTACGACAGTTCCATTGTAATAAAGTGATCATATCTTGATCCTCACTCGACGAATTATCCATCGAAAGATATGAATTCACCAATGAGGGGCCATGATGCAGTCAATTGCTTGAAGTAGTTTCCGACTATAGGAACAAGCAGGTCAATAAGCCCTCTAAGTGGCGATTCGTCGGGAAAGCCGAGGGCATTCAAAATATTATCCACAATGTCCTTAAATTTAATCTTTCCTCGCTTGGACGGGAGAGTTTTCTTTGAATTGCGAGTAGACGTGGTGTTTATTTTTGGTAACCTCTTACGATTACCTTTATTAGGTAGCGGCGGGGTGGAAAAGCTGCAGCAAGGATCAGATGGAGCAGCAATTACCGATTTGTTCGGGTTTTTCAATGAATCCCCGCTACCTTCAGATTTTTGCATGCTTTTGAGAGTGGTTTTATTTTTTTTCCGGCGCACTCCCGGGGAGCTAGTCGGCTTCCTTTTACCGGGGGCGTGTACCTCCGGAGATTCACTCTCATCTGCTATGTCAGAGTCCAGTTCATCGGAAGACAAAATCTCAAAAGTGTTTTCATTTTGAGCGGCTGATGCCAACGAAGCAGAGGATCCATTTTGCAACTTAACCATTTCTGCAAACGTCAGCTTGGAGCGTTCTTTTATTGAACGCTTCACATTGTTGGTACGCTTCTTGTACGCGGGGCAGTCCTGCAAAGCATGAAGAGGTTCTTTGCCGCAGTAAGCACATTTAGTTGCTTCCTGTTGGCAAGCACCCTCCATGTGGTCTTGGCTACATTTGCCACAACGGGGCTTGTTGTCACAAAAAGCAGCTGTGTGTCCCAACTTTTTGCAGTTGGTACAATTATATACCCTTGGTACAAAAAGTCGCACCGGGAAAAAAACATTTTCAATTTCTAAGAACTTTGGGAGAACCGATCCAGCGAAAGACACCTGTAGTGAGCCTGAAGGGGAATAAGTCTTTTGACCATCTACCGTGGTCGCTGAATACAATATCCTGCAACCCAGAACGTCCACGGTAGATGTAGCAGCATTTTGAAGGCGCCCCATACCTTCCATGACGTCATCACACGTCAGGCTCACTGCAGAGACCACGCCGTCTATCTCCACATCTCGAGATGGGATGTAGACGTAATACTCTTTGTTATAAGCCTCGTCGTCAGCAATATCATTTGCGATATTATATGTAGGTGCAGTTATACGCAGTTTGTTCCGATTGACCTGATGAAATTCGGTCCCCGGGAAACGACGCGTCAATATTCTTTTAATCCCTAAGAAGTTAAGGGCTTTCTCTTTCTGCCGAAAATAGACAACCCAAGGCGAGGCAGAGGACGCCTGATAATAGCGCTTTCTAAGTTTATCATTGGGAGGCTTACTGCCCCCCTTTGAACCATCCATTAGAAATTAAAAATTGTCGTCAAAAAGTAATTATTATTTGACTTTTTTTTTATTAACGAACCACCCTATGTGGAACGATTCTACTGGGGGAGAGACAGAAGATCCACAAGCAAACAGTCAGAGGAATGGGAATACAAAAACAGATACGTGCTGCTATTTGCCCTTACCGTTTCTACTGCTATACTGTTGCTGCTCTGCCACAATAGATGCCGGTCGTACACACCGTCCGTGCGGCGGCTCACTGCTTTCTGCTGGTTATTGTTTCCAGTCGTACACACCGTCCGTGTGGTTGTCGTTTGCCGATGTGTATTACACGGCTCTTGCTGCTGACTATGGCTCCGATAAAATCAATTTGATATCTTCGAGCGGGTTAAAGATGGACAGTCCGATCGTAGGCTTCGCCAGGATCGGCTGCTTCCTTATGTAGTGCGCGAGTCACCTGAGGCACAAAAACTGCTTTCAGAAAAAAAAACTTTTCGCGGTGAAAACACTTTTAAAGCTATGCCATGTGACGAGACAACAGGCCTTGATGTTGCTCATTCGCAAGCAGAACGAGGAATGAAGTTTAGAATCTTACATTAGTAAAATAATAGTACAAAATGCAATTAAAATAGTAACACAGATATTATAGCAAAAAGTCCAAACCCCTTCCTGGCTTGAAAACGTAAGCACACAAGAAATTGTCTTGCCCATCTCTCGTGTTTGACACCGTGGTGCGAGATCGTTTTCCGTTCGAGACTACACGAAAGGAGGAGAACGCACGCACACGAACAACGACACCGTGGCTGCTGGTTCGGAGAAGAAAAGCGGCAGTGAAAAAAGATCATTATTGGTGGAACCGCCATAGTGGCATCTGGCACACCAGGTAGAAAAGTTCCGGTACGGGTGCAGAGTGCCGACAAAGTAGACGGGTGGACAGTACAGCCGGCCAAACCACTTCCAACGCTAACCGCCCGTAGAAGACGTGCACACGCACTGGTCACGAAATGGACTCTTGGTCAGCGCTTTATTTTGCCACGGTCTCAAGATTCGGGATGTGCAGGAAGGCCGGCTGACGTCGACGGAATTGGACCACACGATGGTCAAAGACGGTAGTACGACGAGGACCGACTACGGAGCTCCGTGTGACGGCAAGTGATTGGACCGCTCGATGGTCAAAGACGGAGGTGAGACGAGGACCAACTAAGGAGGCCCATGTGACGGCGAGCGTTGGTACCGTGCGGCGAGTGACCAACAGGACGTCGGTCTCGGGAAGCTAGTCAATCGCGAGCCCCGAGGACATGCAGTGAGCCCCTTAGCGACAACATCGATGGCGTGCAGGAGAAGAATGCTGTGAGTACGTTCCTATATACGTGGTGGGCGGAAGCTTTGCGAAGCCAAAGAAAGGAAAAGAGAAGAGTTATGTTGTTTGGCAAGCATTAGACAGGACCAGGAAGAGTAATAAGAGTAGGAGAGAGAGAGAGAGAGAGAGAGAGAGAGAGAGAGAGAGAGAGAGAGAGAGAGAGAGAGATAGAGAGAGAGAGAGAGAGAGAGAGATAGAAAGAGAGAGAGAGGAGCAGGAGCTAGGAGGGGAGAATATGTGGGCAATGAGAATACACGTTTGTTGACAAGTTATGTTCTCATGATTTTGTTTGATTTGTTGGTGCACATTGCCCTAAGTGTTTGTGATTGGTCCGCCCTATGGTAGTTCTGCTCTACCGCTACCGGGTAACCGTAACAAATGTTTAGTTAAAAGTGCCCTTCCCAACAAACAATTCGAGTTGATCAACAGCTGAATAAGCTATTTTTAAGCTGAAGAAGCTTATTTTTGTCTGAATAAGCTCTTATTCAACATTCAATGTTTGTTGGGTTGTGAATCAAATTACTTGATAAATAAGCTGAAACTCCAATACAGGAACTCCAGAAACCTACGATTTACAGCTTCAGTTAGGTGGCAACCGAACAAAATCCCGAGCCATGAGATAACCTGGAATTTATAGTTGAAGGTGACTCGGGATTTGCCACATCAGAGATATCCATCCTACAGCCATCGATTAATTTCTTGGAGCTATTCCATCCCATCGCCAATCAACAAGCACAATGGTATGTCTCTCAACTGATTCCGTGGACGTGTAGATAGATCAAATTCCCTTCCATTTCAGCAGTACCAATTCAGGGGTTTACCACGAAAACATCAAATATATCTCTGATTGCGGCGTGAACGTGTCAAACACACGTTTTGTACGATGTTTCTATTCAATAGCTTCAAGACAAAGTGTTGAAGAACGCAAAATAAGATCTCCAAACCAAAAGGCGCACGCGAATTCACTTTTCTTTCCGTTCGATAGGCCAAAGAGAATCCCAGTGGCGTTTTAATGAAGATCCGAAGGCCAAGTTGAGCCGCCTGAAGTAGTTTTGCATTTTCAACAATAAACAAATAGTTCGCGACCCCTTATCAGAACTAACGGTACATAGGAAAGGTTAATAAATTTGGAAGTCATCTGTAATAATAACATTTCGTTTGGTGCTAAACTCCGCTAAATTAAGAAAGACTTAGTGCAGGTTTTGCCGATGGTTGTGCTTAATAGACCGAAAACTATGAAAACGAACGCACGCACAAAACAGAGAGCCAACTTTAAACACAACCATATCCGAAGGGGTTCGAAACTGCACTGACTTGTTGAGCTACCTGCTGGTCGTGCTCCTATAAGCTGCAAGTGGGTGTATAAGAAGAAGCACGACAGCGTGGGCAACGTGTCTCGGTTCAAAGCGCGACTTGTATCAAGAGGGTTTTCGCAGAAGTTCGGAGTCGATTACGATGCCGTTTTCACTTCGGTGGCAACTCAGACGACTTTGCGGATTCTCCTAACGATCGCTGGACAGAATAAGATGTCAGTTTATCACCTGGACGTCAAGTCTGCTTGGTTGCTCGCAATCGGGATCAGATCCGTGCCTGTACGTGAAGGCGTTGCCGGACGGAGGAGTCGTGTACCTCGTTATCCACATGGTGGTCGCGAGCACAACTCAGAAGGAGATCAAGCGGATCGAAGCTGAATTGTAGAAGAAGATTTTTTTGACTTCGCTGGGAGAAATGAACCAGTTCCTAGGAGTTCGAGTGTCAAGAGACCGTGAAGGATACTTCTGTTTGGACCAGAACGTTTTCATATAGGTTCTTGCGCAGTGTTTCGGTCTGCAGAACGCGAAAGGCTCGAGTATTCCGCTCGATCCTGGTTATATACGATATACCTAGCTCCGGTCCTCACAAGTTCCTACCTCACGCCTCCACGAGTCATATGATCACAAAAGACTGCCAGCTGAAACATGGACACAGCTGGTTGGCGTAGCCTGGGCAATGTTGTCAATTCGACAATAGCAGAGTGAGTAGGAGCGACGCGAACACTGGCGCGGTAACCATAGCACGGTAATAGAGGAAATGCTTCGCCAACCCAAGCGTCTGTTCACCATGGAGGTGCGGCTCAAACAGCGTCTGACTGGCATCCAGCGGCTGAATAAGAAATGCTCTTCCCCGGAAGCTACACCTAAGATGGCAGCCCCATCACGGCGGATAGCAGACCTTAGGCCAACCACCTACTGTCTCTGAAACCTTTACAATTGTCACAGAAACCAACAGAGAAAGACATCGAACTGATTTAACGGCAACGACTTTTGGGGCAAAACAACGGACACGAATTGGATCATGGAATGTATTGACGTTAGCCCAGCAGGGTAAACTGGCACAACTCGCCAACGAGGTACAACGCATGAAGCTAGAAATCCTGGGACTGAGTGAAGTTCGTTGGCCAAACTTTGGAGAATACAAACTGCCCTCGGCACAGGTACTACTATACTCTGGTATTCGAGGTGAAAACACCCGCCATCGTGGAGTTGGTCTCCTACTTAGCGTCCAGGCAAGTGCTGCGCTAATGAAGTGGGAGCCTGTTAATGAGAGGATAATCGTTGCCAGATTTAGAACACGGGTTCGTAACCTTACCATAATCCAATGTTATGCGCCAACCGATGCTGCCGAGCTACAGGACAAGGAGAATTTTTACAGTCAACTGAATGCCGTCGTGGATAAGGTTCCAAAGGGTGACATCAAGATCTACACTGGCGACTTCAATGCGAAGATCGGCTCCGACAACACGGACTATGAGCGTGTCATGGGACGCCATCCCAAGTAACCAAAAGTTCTGATAAAAGGCTATTTGTGGTGTTCGTGACAACGAAAGTGCATCGACGCGCCACCTGTTGCTCATCGACCGCATTGTAAAACCCCCCGTAGCTCGACGGCGATAAACGCCCAAAAGGGAAATTTAGTTGGTAGCATGGCGTTGTATCATCTTCCGCCGCGCCCTGTTATAAAAGCCGAAGAGTGATAGGAGTCAACCTCTTTTTGGCAACGACGTCTTCCACATCAATCATCAGTACGAAGGAGAATAAAAACAAACCAGTGAAAGTGAAAGTGAAAGTGAATTAATATCGTAGCAAAATATTGTAATGTAGTGAAATAAAAGTAGTTAAATAAGTTAAAATAAAGTTTATTTTGCGGAAAGTAAATCGCGAGTGCTTGAGAGTCAAGTTACCTCATTTGCCATCCTGCCTTTCTGCCGAAAGAGAAGAAATAGTGACAAAACTATTTACACTGAACGAATTTGACATATTCCTGTTATGTGGAAGTCTAATAAATTTGCGCTATAAGATAATCCATTGAAAATGATATGATTGAAAATGTGTCAGGTAAATTCTATATGAATATCTGATACATTTACAATGCTGATAATTTGGTAACTTTTATATGATCGTCATATGATAAATGAAAATCGATCAAATTATAATAATTAACTGAAATGGATTTGAAACCCATAGGCATAAGCTATACTTTTCACCACAATATAATATATGTGTCATAAATCAATCGAAGTAAAGTTTATGTGAAAATAACATGAAATTTACTTCTTCTTTTGACACATATATTTAATCGATTTCTAAAAATAAATTCGAAAAATAAACATCAGGCAGTGGGAGCTTTCACAGTTGTGCCTTTTTTTTATTGTAGCTGATTTGGGATTCGATCAAGATCTGTTGAGGTGTGATGCTTTTGGTGTCTGTGCTCGATTCCATTGGGCCACGGCTGACTTCAAGATTGAGCTCGTTCAAATAGCATGAAGTAAGAACAGCTCTCCCGACATGGAATGTAGTGCAACTTTATGCTCGTTTTGCTAGAGTGAAGACAAATAGCACTGACAAATTTATGTTCCGTTTCGGTGGTGTGGTTTGTTCCAATCTTTCTTAATGCACCTGTGTGCAATAAATCAACGACTAAATTATATGATTTGATAGAACTGGCTCATGAAGTTCGAATACTACTTAGGGCTGGAATCTGAATTAGCCGTGTAGAAGGCTTACAATTAGAATCATAGCAAAGTAAATATTACAGTAGAATCATTTTTTTTTTCAATCTCAATACATTCTTTTCTGGAACCAATTATCATATGAAACAATAACAAACAAAGATTATTCAATACAGTATCATTGTTGTTAGTAGTATTTAGTTCAACTAATCATTTTAATGAGTGTACGTTAACATCGTTGAAAATTGTTTCAATAATTTATAAAGAACAATCATGTAAGATGTATTTTATTGGAAGCGATATTCATCCCAGAAAAACATGCAAAAACAAATGCTTGCTGTTGGATTTCTTAAAAGGCATTTCTATATGACTATTTAATGATTGGGATAGATCTGTTTACAATCTTTAAACGTCAAAAATCAAAGCAAGCTATTACAATGAGGTATACATGTTTTCCTATACTGCAAAGTTAAATGACAGTCCAATAGTTTCTACATGTCTATTTACACGCGACATATCAACAAACGTCAAAAATCAGTAAAAGCAACTCCAATAAAATATACATGATTATCTTATAAGATATATATTTTAGTGAGCAATATTCATCATGAAAACAGGTATATTTTACTGAATTTTCTCATAGTGCAAACTTATATGATTTTCCATTAGTTTCTAGATGTCTGTTCCCACCCATGACATATCAACAGTTTTTCACCATGAAATATATCAAACAATATTCATATACTTCTTACCTTCGCTAACCACGTTCGAAGCAAAGTATTATCAAGTACTAAGTATGTAAAA